ATAAGCCTAATTATATCCCAAAGAGGTCAAAGAAGAAAATAATCCAGAAGTGTGTGTGTATAAGTATGTATGTATGTATGTGTATATGTATATATACACACATATACATAAATATGCACACATATAATGTATGTACATATACACATAAATTTATGCATCACTTTTTGTTGCAACAAAGAACTGGAAAACATATGAGCACCCATCAACTGGGAATGACTGAACAAATTGTAGTACATCGATGTAATGGAATATTATTGAACTATAAGAAATAAGGAATTCAGAGATGTTTTGGAAGACTTTGTAGGAACTGATACAGAGTAAAATGAGTAGAATCAGGAGAACAATTTTTTTTAATTACCACAGTAATATAAAGGGAACTTTTTTTTTAAATTCAGAACTCCAATCAATGGATGCCGTGATGAATCACGATTTCAGAAAGCTGATAATTATGAAGTCTGTCTCCTACCTCCTAGCAGAGAAGTGATTAACTAGAGGTATCGGATGAAATATGCATTTTCTTTTTAAAATAAATATACTAATATGAACTTGACACTGACAGTCTTCAACAAACATTTTCATATCCAAAATATGTAACAAAAAAGTGCTGCTTTTGTGTACCAAAAAGTGTTAACTGTTCATGTCCTTTGACCCTTTATCAATTAGATAATGACATGTTGCACATTTTAAAAAATAACCAGTGTGTTCATTTCTTCTGTATGACTGCCTATGTGTTGCAAGAGGGGGCTTGCTTCTATGGGGAAGAGGGAAGTGTTGAGGTAGATAAGTCAATGGAAAGTGATAGAAATGAAAAAAAGATAATAAAGAGCACAAATAAAAATATGAAGAAAACAAAATTCAGAAGAAAACAGGGCAATTTTGTTAACTGTCTTGTTCATTTTAATATGCAAAAGTTGGGGCAGCTAGATGGTGCCATGGCTAGAGTGCAGAGGTTGGAGCCAGAAGATTCTCTTCCCTGAGTTCAAATCTGGCCTCAGACATTTACAAGCTATGTGATTCTGGGCAAGTCATTTAACCCTGTTTGTCTCAGTTTCCTCATCTGTAAAATGAATTAGAGAAGGAAATGGCAAACCACTCCAGTATCTTTGCCAAAAGAACCCCAAATAGGGTCAACAAAGAGTCTGACGTAACTGAACAACAAACAAACATGTAACAGAAGTTCCTGGGTTCATATACAAACTTATTTTTTCTACTCTTTGGATATTGTAATATTTGTGTTTGGTAGTGATTGTTAGGTTCATCAAGAAAAAGAAAAAAATTACGTTGGCAGGACGAAAGCTGTTCAGAGGAACAAATCAGATGTTTTCTATTTGTGATGTCAAAGGGATTGCCTGCAGCCTTCTTGTGAAGATCAAATGAGGTAAAATATGTAAGAAGCTTTTCAAATCTTAAAACGCTAGATAAATGCTGGCCATCATGGCCATCATCATCAAACTAGCTTAGGAAACTGCTCAATATGAAAAAAACATTGGTTCTCCATGCAGCTATTGAAGTGATTAAAATAATTCATGTTGAATCACACGCAAAGCAGTTTCAAATGATTTCAAGTTATAGTAACTATACTTGGATTATTGGATGATAAATTTAGAGTTGGAAAGTTTCCGCTCACAAATATCATAAATGGAAAGAGTTGTCCATATAATAACTAAAATTATCATATAATATACATAAGTATTATTAATATAATAGCTAGCATTTATATAGTGCTCTAATGTTTATAATAAGCTTTAAATATATCATCTTCTTTGATCTTTACAACAATCCATGAGGTAAGTGCATGTTGTTTACCCTTTGTTTTCAAATTATCATTTTTATTACAGATGGGGTAACTGAGGCATGATAGAATAAGTGACTTGCTCAGTGTCACAGAGCTAAGTACCTGAGGCAGGATTTGAACTCATGTCTCTCTGACTCCAGATCCAGTAATCTGTCCACTACCAGGACTTCCTAAACTTTTTCCACTGGCAACCCCTTCAGCTCTTCTTAAACTATATTGCACAGTTGACTGCACCACCGGATACCACCACTACCACTGCCCATTGTGTGTCTACACATGTTTGTGCTTAATTGAGAAACAAACATCTTCCTATTTTGCATTGCAAATGGCTAAAGCAGCAGATATAATTAAAGACAATCTTTTAATTACATATGTTGAAATTGGTGGTAGAAAATATTTGTTACTTTGTAAATGTATTGGTGGTAATGTTGTATCAAGAGAAATTTGCAGTATAATTTTTGGATTTTTAATGAAAATGACACATGTGACAATTATATTTGACTTTTCAGCTTAATTGGAATCAGGACAAAAGCACTAGTTAAAAATGTAGCCCCTTGTGCAATTTTGAAACTTTCCATGTTTCACAAGTACTAGTATCAAAAAATATATGTGAAGAGTTACAAGAAGTTTTTCTTGCAATTCAAATCTTGTCTGAGCAGGAAGGCCCTCTAGAACATCCCTAATAGTCGGTGAAGAGACAGCTAGCTAGTGGACAGAGTGCTAGATTTGGAGTCAGGAAGACGAGTTCAAATCCTGCCTCAGACCCTCACTAGCTGTGTGATCCTAGGCAAGTTATTTAACCTCTCTATGCCTCAGTTATCTCATCTACAAAATGGGAATAATGGAATTGTTATTAACCTGTGAACTCCTTGAGAGCAGGAACTCCCTTTTACCTTTCACTGTATCCTTAGCATTTAGTACAGTGCCTGGCACATAGTAGGTGCTTGATAAATGTTTATTGACTGACTACCTCCTAGGGTTGTAAGGATCAAGTGAAATAATATGTAAATAACTAAGCAAACCTTAAAGCACTATATAAATGCTATGATGATGATGATGATGATGATGATGATGATGACCTCTATTAACTGTAATACCTCTAGGAACCACTCATTGATCAGCCTGATCTCTCCCTCACTTAACCTCTCATTTCCATGATAGCTAGCACAACATAACTAAGTACTAGATTATATGCCAATTTATATGGTTCTCTAATTTTTATGATTATTATTATAACATTTCAATGTTTTGACCATCTGCCAGGCAGTATCACAACCCTTCCATGCCTTTATGGAAGGAAGATGGCTGTTGGGAGAGAGAGGATAACGGGAGGACCAGAGACAATGCGTTCTCACCAATCGGTTCAGTATGATTCCAGGGCAAGAGTTGCAAAGCTGAATGCTTTAGCTCTGTAAGATAATTTATAGCATCGATTTGTGCAAGATCTCAAAGCATTTAACCAGCACATACCACTGGGGAAAAGAAAATCAGGAACTTGGATCTTGTTTCCCAGGGAGGTTAAAAGTAACTGAATGAAAATCTTCTTGAGGCATGGAGAAGCCAAGAATAGACTGCCTCTCTCTTTCCACCCACCAATAAATTACCCACTGGATTAGTTACCTTTTTCCACTGAACTAGCAATGAACACTGGTTCTGCACATCCAAATTTTTTGGGGGGGATCCCAAAGACCCAGATATGACAGATTGTGATGAGATTGAGTGCTTTGGGCCCCTCCTAGCCATGTCCCATGGATTATGTCATGTCATGTCATATTATGTTATGTTATACAGAGAATAGTTTCACTATTGATACTGGTATTAATTGATGGGATATTTTGTGCTTTATAGTTTTAAAGCATTTTCACAAACATTATCTCATTTGACTCTCATATTAGTATCTTCTTCCCCATTTTTTAGTACCTCAGAGGATTTATGGCATCATAAGTCTTCCTCTAGGTGATTCTTTTCTATATCTTTCTATAAATACTTCATAGAGCATCCATCCAGCACGTTAGGGGCTCTCCTATGGTTCTTTTAATTTTGTATGGATACCAACTCAATGTTAGCCACATTTGTTATCTCTCCTCCCTATGTGACTGACCCACCTCCCTTTCCTGACACAGGTAGGTAAACATGATGATGCTATGTCTCCAGTGCATCCCATGATGGCTAACACTCTGTAGCCTGCAGATGCTCACCAGCTCTTGGGACACCTGAAATCGTAGTATTTCATGATTCCCAGTCATAGAGCACCACCAAAGAATATTGATGCAAAACAAACAAAAACAAACCTTTGAGACATCTTATAGATGAAGTAAGTAAGGAGTGAAGTGCCTTGGCCAAGGTCATACAGTCTCTATGTGTTAGAATGCCAGATATGCTATGCTGGTTCATGATCCAGAGCCCTTATTACTATACCATATACAAGGGATTGCCAATCTTTTTCAGTTTTCATACCTTTTAGTTTCCCATGTTTCCTAGGTGTTGGCTAGATGGTGGAGTACTGAACACTGGGCCTAAAATCAGGAAGATTTGACTTCAAATCTAGCCTCAGACATTTACTAGCTGTAATTGCTAGCTGCCTCCGTTTCCTCAACTGTAAAATGAAGATAATATTAGCACCAGCCTCCCAGGGTTGTTGTGAAAATCAATATTTATAAAGTGCCTGGCACATAGTAGGTGCCTAATAAATGCTCATTTCCTTCTTTCCCTTATTCAATATGAAAGGAAATAAATTCTACTGTGTATCACAACATATAATAAGGAATATTATAAAATAAAGAGATTAAATAATTTTTCAAAAAGAAAACTTCATTGGGTGTGTAACAACTGTTTAAAGTATCATAAAGGTGTTTTAATGTTTACCAGAGCATAGTCAACTAAATTAGTGAGACCCCCAAGGGATACAGATTCCTCAGGCTGGCAACCCTTTCCATCTTTTTGCAAACTATAAATGACTCAATTAACAAAAACGGTGAAGGGGAATGAAAAAACCCTCAACTGGGAACCTAAGAACCTGGATCTGATGCCCTGAAAACTCAGAAATCCCGATGGCAATGTCTATTCTTCCTGGAAGACCTTTCCTGCCTACCTCTCAGCTGGGGATCGTTGGGGAGTTTCGAAGCACTTCTGATCACCTGCCTCGGGCGCTAGCCGCGACTCACTTTCGTGAGTCCCTTCTCTTTGAACATTTACGGCACTGCCAGTAAGTAAGTTCAAGTCGGCTGCTTTCTGGTTCAGTTTCGGGGTCTTAGAGGCAGCCTGGGAGTACAGCAAGGAGAATCTGATCTCCTCCTCCCCTACCCCTATTGCCTGGAGTTTGGAAACTTTTCCCGGGAGACCGTCCCAGGAGGAGGATGGGCGGCAGAGGCAGCAAATTAAACTGCTACAAATCCCCCAACAAGGTAAAGAAAACAGCGCTGAAGTTTGGTCCTTAGAAGTGCTGCTTTTGGCTTTGGGCTTTGCAAGGAGGGACTGATGGGTTCAGGTCCACTGGGGTCCCGGGGTGGGGTGGAGAAAATTCTGTCTCCTCTGAGCCCCCAACCCCAGCTGCTCCCTAGCTGGCCCCTGGTCACTAGACACCGGTTTGTGGTGGCAAGATTAATATGGAATCAGTCAGTGGAGGAGGCAGCTCTGTCTGTGCGTGGGTTTGCCTTGCACCAGCCCTGACCCAGGTTGGAGCTATCCTAGTATAGCTTAGTCCAGCCGAGCCCAGCCCGCCCCAGGAGTACACTAGCAGAGCCCCAGTCTCAGGGCAGGCAATAGCGTCAGAGTGTGTGGGACGCGGATTGAGATTAGTACTGTACAGGGCACATTTGGTAAGAGGGGGCCCTCGAGGGGTGGGGGCCTATATCCCAGAGGAGCAGGGGATCTGAGATGACCTAACCAGAACCCCATGGATGAGCCTCTCTCTTCACTTCCTCCTTCAAGTCTCTGAAATCTGGGGCTCACTCGGGATTGATCTCTAGGAGGGAGCCCTTCCTTTCCCTGAACTTGCTGAGCTCCTGGGTCAAGGGTGGGGGTGGGGGGAAGAGGTAGTTGCTACTGGGACTCTCAAGTTACTTTGGTATGGGGCCACCTGCCCCTCTAGAGCTGAAAGTCATAGAATATTAGCACTCAAAGGGCCCTTCCAACATAGACTATCTGAGCTGCAAGGGACCTTAGATGCAAGGGACCAAGAAGACTGCAAGGTCGTCTTGTCTGACCCCCTCATTTTACAAATGAGGAATGTGAGACCTGGAAGGAGCCCTAAAACAGAGACTACGGAGCTGAATGTCAAAGCTAGAAGGGATCTTAGAGTCATTTAGTCCAATATTCTCATTTTATAGCTACTTGTTAGTTGTGTGACCTTAGACAAGTCACTTTTCCCCCCTCCTCTTTGTGCCTCAGTTTCCTCATCTATAAAATATTGAAAGTTAAGGTAAATTTGTTTTGCCCTGAATGGGCTGGATAATTCTCCCTGCTGTGTTCCTGTGGCTGCTCAGATAATCAAGAACCCCCCCTTTACTGTGTAGTAGTGTATAGCACATCCTTTCTTTGTGGTTCTTCTCTCTCATGTTTCAAGGCTCACAGATGACAAGAAGGCAGACTGTCTCTTTGCAGAAGTGGGATGCTGGGAAAAGACAGGTGCTCTCTCAGACCAAGCCTCTAAGAGGGAGTCTGAGATGGTAGCAGCCTCTCCTTGGTGTTAGCAGAAGAATGGGCCCCGAAAAGGGGCCACGTAGGAAGATACCCATTCATTCACTGAGCATTTAATAAGTGTGAAGGATGTGTGAAGGATCTGTGATCTTCCTGGTGAGGAACTCTCACCAACACTATGATTTAGTATTTCAGTTTTAGGTAGCTTCCTGAGGTACAGAGGTTTTAAAAAATGATTCACAATAAAAGTTTGAGGCAGGATTTGAACCCAGATTTTCCTACTCTGTTGCCAATATTCTAGCCACTGCCTCTGTTCCTGGGAAGACAGAAGAAGACGGAAGTAAATGAGGCACCACCTTTACCTTCAATGAGCTCATAATCTAAAAGATGCTGGCACAAATGTTTTTAAATACAAAGAACCGTGTGATCTGTGCCTAAGAGGAATGCTATGAGATCAGATGAGAGAGACATTACTACTGATTAGGGAAGACTTCCTGGAGGAGGTAACATTTGAAGTAGGCAACATTTGAAGTAGGCCTGGAGGGGTGTCAGCAAGCAAAAATGAGGAGAATGGGACAGTAAAGGCATTGGGACAATGAGGGGGAAAGCACCAATACCAGAAAGGGGGAGGGGAGAAAACATTTGAGAGATAGTGAGATTTCAACCAAAGGACCTAGAGTATGGGAGGGAATGGGATGCTTTGTCCACAGTGGGTACTTAGTAAATGTTAATTCACTTGCAAAAGTCTAGAAAGGTAGAGTGGGACTAGGTTCCCTAAATTCAAGCTAAGGAGTTTGTACTTTATTCGGTAAAAATTGGAGAGCCACTGAAGGTATTTGAGGAGAGAAGGGATGTATATTAGTCAGATTATTCTGCCAGTGTTGAGATGGATTGGAGGGAGAAAGACTGGAGGCAAAGAAGACCAGTAAAGTGAGCTTTCTTAGAGTAAGAGAGGACAGCCATAGCCAGAACCCTGTGACCAGAATTCTGCGCTGGGGAATGGCCAGGCTGATACGGAGAAGGTGTGTCCATTCCCTCCCCACCCCCTCAGACAGGGAACTGACTAGGCTTTCTTACCCAAGGAGATATCTGGGCAGCATGGGTAATCACTGATTACAAAGCCTTTTGGCACAGAAACCCTCACTCATCCTGGCTGCAAATGAGTATCCTGGTGTTTCTCCTCTGCCCACACTGTACTGTTAGTGCCCAGCCCGTGCCCTTACATGGCAGGATGGACTGGTTTCTTTTTTGTTGTTTAAAGTTCAGTCCGTCTCCCTTCTTACTGATGTCAAGCAAGTTCCTCCTCCAGGTGCCAACCCTTGGCGGGCAGCCTGAGCTCCTGAGACCGTTCTCCTTGGCACCTGCCCCTACCCAAACAGAGGCCAGCTAGCTCCCTGCCCCAGAGCACTGGCAGGTCCTGTTGTTCCCCCAGAAACTATCCCAGGATTGCTGAGGTTGGGATGAGAGGAAACTGGTTGAAATTACAGGAGGAGGGATTGAAGGTCTAGAAACTGATAATGAAACCTCATAGAGTTATAAACAGGAAAGCATGATGGAAATATGAGCTGCTGTCATTATTTAATAATAATCATAAGGATGAATAAGGCAGCATGACATAGTGGATAGATTTGGCCTGGGAGTTAGAAAGATCTGGGTTCAAGTCTCATCTCTTCACAGTTACTGGCTTTGTGACCTTGGTCAAGTTATTTAGCATCTCCGTGGCCCAGCTAGCCCTTTAAGGTTAAATTATAGAGCCAGGCTACCACTGCATTGAAAGAGGGAGTTACTTAACAGGTGATTCCCTAAACCAATGAAATCACAAGTCAAGGCAAAATTATTATTATCAATAATAACATTTCAAAAGGCCATGATTACATGAATGTGGGCACTCCTTCCCCTCAGACAGCTTTCAACTCATCATGCTTTAGTAGACAGTATGAATTTGTGAGGATAGATTGCTCTGCACTCAGCTAGACTGATCCTTGGACAACCTACACAACATGGACATTGTCCAATCTGTATTAAAAGATTTTTTTGAGCATGGAAAGACCTGCCAGACCTTGTGTTTCAATGTCATATCCTTATAGAATGATAAGAAATGGGAGGAGGGTAGATATCAATATTCGTATTAATTATGATGATAAACTGAAAAAAGCTCTGTGTAGTATGGGTTGGGGTCAGTGGTGCCAAAGTCAGATAGAAACAGATTCCCCTGCAGGTTAGCATATTGACTTAGAAAACCACAAATTAACATTATCTATCTTGTATTGTGTACATATGTGTAATCCTTAACAGAACTCATTTGGTCCTCACAACAACTCTAGGGTAGGGAAAGACATCCTGGAACTAGCTTCTGCTGGCTGGGGAGGATCAACCAAACTGAGGCTTGATTTTATTGTTTTATAGGTTGTCTAGAGGATGATATCAAATAGAAACAGGAGCCACTAAACCTTACATAAGGATCCCTGTAGAACATAGTCACTTAGAAAACCAAGTATTAACATTATCTGTGTTCTATTGTATTTTTTATCTATTTTGTTAAACATTTTCCAATAACATTTTAATCTGGTTCCTAACCACCCTTGGGAGTATTAGTAATGCAGACTAAATTTTAAAAGTGGGTCATGAATACATTTTTTGGAGGGGATGAGCCAGTTGTTAAACATTTATCAGCATACTCCTGCCTAGGAATGAGGTGCTATTAATACCCCCATTTTACATATGAGTAAACTGAGGCTGAGAGAGGTTAAGTGACCTACTCAAGGTCACACAGTAGTAAGTATCTGAGATAGAATTTGAATTTAGGTCTTTCTGTCTACAAGTCCAGTGCTCTAACACCTAGTTGCCCCTATCATCTTTGTCATCATCTCCCCCGAGGGCTGAGACTAGACAGGCCAGATTGGGGGCTGGAGATAGCTGGCCTGCCATTGACACATAATGTCTACATCTGGTAGGAGGCTGGGATGTTCCAGTCCTCCTCTTCACCCCATTACATCCAGGCAGTCAGGACCTACCAGTTGGTTCCCCAACTCTGCACATGCTGACTAAGAGATTTGACTAAGTTATGACACACTTAGAAAAGATTGATCACTCACCCTCCAGGCCAATACTTCTGTTGTTAATAAACTGGCTTGTAGAAAACAGCCATTAATAAAATATTGATAAGAGAAATCATGGAATTTTAGAATACCAGAGAGGGAAGGGATGGGTCTGGTTATCCAGTCTATGTCCTTGCCCAGTACAGGAATCCTTTCTACAGATAAGTAGCATGATATAGTGGTAATTGCCCTGGCCTCCTCCCAGTTCTATAATTCATTAAGTATGTGACCTTTGGCAAATTACTTTCCTTCTCTGGGCCTCAGTTATTCTATCAAATGAGATAGTTGGACTACATGGTGTCTTTCTTTTTGCTAGGTCTAAATCCAGTAAAAGTGAGGAATTTAGGATTTGAAGGTTGGTGGTTATGATAGGGAAGGGATCTGAACCTCTGAAAGGAAAAGACCATGTCTTTGGGATCTGGACCCCAAAAAAGGAAAAACCCCCGGACTTTCCCATGTGGCCCAGGTCCCTGGTGTTTGCCTGGGGCACCTGGCCCTTCCAGGTCCTTTTCTGTTACTTCCCAGTCACCCAAGCTATCAACTACTCCTTGACCACTGTATATAGGTGTCCATCTTGCCCCCATTAAATTGCTCAGATTCCTTAAGCGTCTGGCCCAGTTGTATTGGCATCACAAAGGTTCAGATTCCTCAAGAGTCTGGCCTGCTTGTCAATATAAGCATCACCAAATAGCTCTGATTCTTAAAATCTCACCCACCTCAGTCGGTGTTTTAATAAACCTTGTCTCTGACTGAAAGAAGGCTTGACTCAAATTCGAGGCAAGACCCATATCACTTACCTTTGAATTTTGGGTTCCCAGCACCCCTAGACCTCAACAGTTATCTAATCCAACCCTTTCATTTTACAAATGGGGAAACTGAGACCCAGAAATGGGGAAGGGATTTGTTCAAGATCACAGAACTAATCTATAGTAGAACTTGGATTTGAACCCAAGTTCTCTGACTCCAAATCCAGGGCTCTTTCTATCACACAGGGCTACTTCTAATTCTTCAGTTGTTTCAGTCATGTCCTACTCTTCGTGGCCCCATTTGGGGTTTTTTTCACAAAGATACTGGTGGGGTTTGTCATTTCCTTTTTTGGCTCATTTTATAGATGAGGAGACAGAGGCAAACAGGGTTTAAGTGACTTGCCTAGGGTCACACAGCTAGTAAGTATTTTAGACCAGGTTTGAACTCAGGTCTTCATGACTCCAGGCCTGGCACTTTATCCACTTCACCACCAAGCTGCCCTTACTAATGTGTAAAGTTAGAATAACTGAATTTCTATAATTCTCTGATATACGTGTGGCTCACTATCATTAGGTATTGACCCTATGTAGTCAATTCTGAAACATTTACAGCTTTCAGGAGTGAATCCCCAAGGTGGGGAAAGGGAAAGAAGATACCTTCTTCCAAATCATCTTGGGCTGCCTCTGAGAGACTCAACATCTGGGTAGCAGAAAGAAGACCAGAGGTCTGCAGGGATAGCTATCACTTAAAATGTCCCCGTGCTATTTAGGCATCTCCATTGAAGGAGACGTGCCCAACAAGAGTATTTCTAGCAGTTTTGTGCTAAAGCAAAAGGAAGCTTTGTGAAGAGTTCAAGATGTAAACTAAGCATTCCCCTCCCTGTCCCCAAGGCATACTCAGGCTGATGTATCTATTTAGTGGCATTAGTGGCAATAAAATTCTTAGATTTTTGAATCTGAGGAGTCCAACAGTACTTTTTGCCTATTGGAAATAGTGTCAGGCAACAATGATTTTCCCTCTGAATTTCTCTAATCTGGTTGTGCACAAAATAATCTCTCTGCAGCTTTGGGTTTCCGTCCTGACCCTCCCCCTTCTTCCCCAAGAGGCCCCCTGGGCCTCCCGCCTCTACGTCCTTCCTGCTCCTCCCCGACTCTCTGTGAATCAACTTGGTGTGTGGCAGCTTTCAGATCCTATACCTCACTTTGTCAAGGAAGATCTGTCAGTAGAGGACCCAGATACTACAAAGGAGGCCACCACTGGTATGGCCTTGGGGCAGAGCCCGGCAAGACCAGGGACACATATTGACCCTCTGCTTCTAGGATAGCAAGCCTAGCAGAGTGTGGAGGAATCCCAATTTGTAATGAGACTAACTCATCCCATTTTTCACCCCAGTTGAATTTCTGATACAGTAGGAGATCAAAGGTCTTCTGAGCATAGATTATATCAGAGTTTGAAACTCAAAGAGATAATAGGATTATAGATTTAGAGCCTGTAAGTCTCAGAGATAGTATTTGAAGCCAACTCTTCTGACTTCTAGGGCTCTTTCTCCAGCACACACCGACCAGCACGTACCTGAGCTCTTTCTCTATCTCCTTGACAATTGCTCACCCAGCCTCTGCTTAAAGACCTCCACTGATGGGAAACAATCGATCTTGAGGTGATCTGTTTCTATTTTGAGACATCTCTAAATGTTAGATCTTTCTTCTAGCCAGCCTTGTATTGCCTCAATGTCTCCATGACCCGCCCTTGACGATCCTCTCTCTGTCTCCTCTTCTGATTCCCTGAAGCTCTTAGGGAAAGGATGAGGTATAGCAGGCCTGTACAACCCTGCAGCCCTCTTGCAGCTCACCAAACAATTTCCTCTACATACAAAGGATGTTTTCCTCTACATTTTTCCCAGGCCAGCCAGCAAGTTATGCAGGCCTGAGGTATAGGGTGACCTCCTTTAGAAGCTTAGTACTTCCATACCACAAGATCACCCAGTGACTACCCAATGACTCCATTAGTGCATCTTCCAACTATTCCCAGTGTTGGAATAGGGAAACTCCTCTAGGTGACCTTCTGCTTTAAGTGAGAGCACTTCTTGAAGGCAGGGAGCCAAGGGCCCTCCAAGTGCTTCAATCTTCTAGTCTGAAAGGCAGTTCCTTCAGTGTCTCCAGATAGACCGTGAGTCCTCAGAGGGTTATAGCTTACCCAAATCACCGTTATATACTGAACCTCTCGTGTGGCCAGCTATGTGTTCAGCCTCATTTTTTAAAAGGTCCCATTATTTCTAGACAGCAAGGATAAAGATACTTAAACCAACACTTTGATAGATCTCTGATATCACTGATATGAAAACTCTCTCCAGGGAGACAGTTTGCTTCCCATTCATACCTTCCTACATACATACCTATGAAACTTCTCTGTCTTCCCCTAAATACTGAGGGTGTGAAGGTATTAGACACAATGTACAGGAAATGTTACTCTAGGCCTTTTGACACTATGTGCTACAAATGCAATACCAGGGCTGTCTCTCTGTTATCCCTTACCTGTCACTGTGGGATTAGCCCACCTCCTTTTCTGCATATACTTGTCTCTGATAGTCTCTTTCTGTATAGCTCATGCATAGGATTCATTGTTAAGAATATTCTTCAGCCTATATCCGCCTACTATTTGTCTCTCCATTGTCCTTTAAGTAATGTACAATTTTGCTTTCTTGGAGAAATTCTAGGAATTGCTGTCCAATAGCATTACTAGAAGGGTAGTAGTATTAAAAAGATAGACTTTTATTTCAAAGAACAGCATGAGATCATTGAAAATATTGCATCATTTCCCAAATGCAATTCAGTTCAAGCCTCAGCAGGGTTTCCTTCCCTCCACCCTCTCTCCCCTCCAACTCCCAGCCTTAGTCACTATCTCAATCAGAGAATAGTTAAAGATGTAGAAGATGAATGCCTGTGGCAGTGCCCCGGGCCTTGTGAGGGCTTAAATCTGAAGCAAGGAGAGTTTAAGTGAAAGAAGGAAAAGGGAATAGCATTTATATAGCAACTGCTATTTGTCAGGGGATAATATGTGTGTGTGTACATATGTGTATGTGTGTATGTATAATTATCTCATTTGATTGTGAGGCAGGTGCTGTTTTATCCTCATTTTACATTTGAGGAAACTGAAGCAAATAGCAGTTAAGAGACTTACCCAGGGTCACACAGCTTCTAACTGTTTGAGGCCACATTTGAACTCAGATTTTCCTGACTCCTGGCCCAGTGCTTTATCCACTGCGTCATCTGGCTGCTCCAAATGAAATTGGGGGAAAAGAGAGACAGTTCATCCATTCAAAGAGAGTACTGCATTTGTATCCACTTAAAGCAGAAAGACCTAAAGGAAAGTATTTCTCTTTCCCCACCATGGAGGAGGATTTAGAGGAGGATATAAATGTGTCACACAGAATAAGAAGGTATGGATGGGTTGCAATCAGTGGGTGTGGGGTCTAACTCTTAGAGAGACCAGAACAGCCCCTGAAGGTTTAGGCTGGATTAGGGAACAGGGTAAATAAAGAGGCTTGGCAGGTCCCAGTGAAGATGAGGGTGGAGGAGAGACAGACAGGAATCTAAGGGATAGGTCAATTAGCTGAGAAACTCAGACTTAACTGACCAGGACTATGCAATGAAAACACCCTCTGAGGGATTTAACCACTGCTAGACAGTAATGGCTGTGGAAAGAGCCAAGTAAGAGGGGGATTCTTCCTATTTCATGGCATCCCTTGCCCTATCTTTCCTGCAACAGTCAGCTGCCCTCTGCAGGACCTGGATTCTAGTCATTCACTCTCATTTGACTACCATCATTTGTGTTTATTGACTCGATCCTAACATTTGGTTTCTTTCAGAGGCGCCGAAAGTCAGGGCAGCCACCAAGACCTGAGCCCATAGAGCTGGATCCCTTGCAAAAAGACAAAGGTGGGAAGTTCTTTTAATGCCCTCTACCCCACAAGTCTCCTACTGGAAGAGGAGACCGCATCTCCCCGACTGAAACAGCCCAATCCTATGAAGTTGTCCCTGGCCCGTTTTGTCTTTCCTCAACACTGACACCTGCCTCTCTGCTCCTTGGGCCCCTGGTAAAATGCTAGCTGGGTGTGTTCTGATCAGGACTGTATTTCTAGAGCCTGGGTCTCAGGTGATTGACTCATTCCTCAGTACGGTATTGCCTCTGGCCTGAACCAAAAAAATCTTGAAGTTGGAAGGGACCGTGAGGCCATACCTGAGCAATAACCTACCCCCCTCCGTCTCTATAACATCCATAACTAAGCCAATATGGTGTCATCCAGCTTGTGCCCAAAGACTTCAGCAAAGGGAAACGTGCTTCCTCCTGAGTCAACACGAGTTCCACTGTAAGATAATTGTAATCTTAGGAAGCTTTCCCTTTCATCTAGATTAAATCTGCTTCTTTGCCACTTCATTCCCTTATTTTCCTTTCTTTCTGCCCTTCCCTTCCATTCTCTTCTCTTCCCTTATTTCTACTCACTGGGGCCAAACACAAACCAAATGCCTCTTTCACATATGTGGAATATCCCAACTATTGTTGTCTACCTTTTTCAGGCTAAACATCCATAGGCCTTTCAAACATTTATAGTCTTTATTATAGCATGATCTCAAGACTTTTGAACATTCTTGTTATCTTTTTTTTTTTTGGCTAGGCAATGGGGTTAAGTGACTTGCCCAGGGTCACACAGCTAGTAAGTGTCAAGTGTCCTCCTGACTCCAGGTCAGTGCTCTATCCACTGCGCCACCTAGCTGTCCCCTCTTGTTGTCTTTCTCTGGACACCTATTTTCTCTCTCTTTTTTTTCATTTAACAAGCATTTACTTTTTCTCCCTCACCCCACTTCCAACAGAAGGCAAAGCAAAACAAAACCCTTGTAACAAATGCGCATAGCCAAACCAAACAAATTACTGCATTGTCTGTGTCCACAAATGTTTGCTTCATTCTAGGTCTTGTATCTGTCACTTTTTTGTCAGGAGGTGGGAAGCATGCTTCACCATCAGTTTTTTGGAATCTTGGTTAGTGATTTCCTTGATCGGAGTTCTGAAGTCTTTCAAAGTTATTTGACTTTATTTAGAGTGTGGTTGTTATTTTATCAATTTTTTTTGCTGGTCTTGTTTACTTTATTCTGTATCACTTCATATAAATCTTCCCAAATTTCTCTTAAACTGTTCCTTTTATCATTTCTTACAACACAATGGTACTCTATTACATTCATATACCAAAATCTTTTTAGCCATTCCCCAATTGATGAGTTATCTCCTTAGTTTCTAGTTCTTTGTCATCATGAAAAGAGGTACTATAAATGTTTATTGTACTTCTGTCACTAGATACTTCCTAGCTTATCAGTGTTCCTCCTAAAATGTGGTCTTCAGTATAATAAATTAATTGTTATGTTGGGCAAATCCCTTCTCGCATCTGGTCCCCAATTTCTTTATCAGTAAAATTAGAGTGTTAAATAAAGTGGTCTATAAGGCACATTCTAATCCTAATTGCCTTTTAACTATACCATTCTATTATGAATCTCAAAGTTGACTGGCTGGTTGAGAGCTGTAGTAGGGTATGAGCCTTCTCTGAGAAGGGAAAGAAAAATCCCTAGCTCTTGTCTCCAATTGATACTTACATGGGAAAAAAGAAAACTCTCCACCTCCAAACCACAGAGCAAGTTCCCCTTCCCTCTAGGCTACTGGGCCCAAAGGGAAGTTCTTCTCCATCCTAGCCCAGACCCCTGAAGTGGAACAAATCAGGTTTGCCCCATCCCCAGGTCCTCCTCTGCATAAGCTTTTCATAAGGGACAGTTGCTGCATTTCAAGAGGGTAAAGGCATACATGTAAGCTTCGAATAGGTCACATGGGAGAGGCAAAGGGCTTTAAAAAGAGAGATTGCTGTTCTTAGAATAAGCATGGCCACAGCTGCCCTTATTGGAAAGCATGACTTATGTGGTGTGATTTGGGAGTGGGTAAGATTGGGCAACATCTCTGTGCTGAAGCTCTTCCCTGGGAGGGACCTTATACTAAGCCTTTATCAGCCACCAATACTTCAGTGAAAAGGAATTCCACTGATATTCTGCCCAGGGTTTGCTAGGCAGAAATAAGCCCAGAGCAGGGAATGATATGGGTGAAGGACACTGGACCTCTGGACAAAGCAAGCAAGTCATATAGGAGTATTGAAGTTTTTTCACCAGCGTAGCTTAATAATGTTAATAGCAGGTATTGGAATCACAGAGGTAGGGAACCTGTGGCCTGAAAGCCACATGTGGCCCTCTAGGTCATCAAGTATGGCCCTTTGACTGAATCCAAACTTCACAAAACAAATCCCCTTAATAAAAGGATTTGTTCTGTAAAACTGGGACTCAATCAAAAGCAGTACCCGAGGACCTAGAGGGCCACATTGTGGCCTCAAAACCTCAGGTTTCCCACCCCTGTTTTGCTTTCAGGTTTACAAAATACTTCACATACATTATTACATCATTTGATCCTCACAGCAACACTGTATAATCAGATGATTCCCAGATCAATCTATCCAACTCTAAAGTCTTTTCTGACCTCTAAACTCACATCATCAATTATGTTTTGGATATCTTGAACTGGAGGTCCTATAAGCCTCTCAAACTCAATGTGACCAAAACAGAACACTTTTCCCTTCAAACCCTCCCCTCTTCCAAATTTCCCTGTTTTTGTCGAGAGCTCCACCTTCCAATCAATCAGGCTTGAAACCTCTATGTTATCCTCAACTCTTCTCTCATATCCACTATACATACTCAATCTGCTGATGAGTCTTGTCATTTGTACCTTGACAACATTGCTTGCGTATATCTACTTCTCTCTACTTAAAAAGCTACCACCATGGTGCAGGCTTTTACATCTTGCACCTGGATTACTGCAATAGTCCCCTGGTCTCCTTGACTCACATCTCTCTCCACTACAATCCATCTTCCGTTCAGATGCCAAAGTAATTTTCCTAAAGCAAAGGGGGCCAATCTTCCTGACCTATGTCTTGCCACTGGACTCCCAAGTGGGAGTCCCAGTGGGGCTGATGACTTTGCACAGCTCTGCCTCACTGAAATCCTATTCAGCTCTAATTCAAGACATCATTCTCCTGATGTCATTGGCCCTCTTCGAGAACAAAAGACAAATAAAAT